AGTGCTGGGATCAAAGGCATGTGGCACCATTCTTGGCTCAGTTTATTTTGGCTTATGGTGTCAGGGATTTTAGTCCATAGTAAACTGCTTTGCTTTTAGGCCTGTGGCAAGGTAGACACATCATGGCTCAAGCTCCACAGTGGAGGAAAGCTGTTCACTTCATGGCAACTAGTAAGAAATGGGGTGGAGAGGAGAAACAGATACAGACAGATGAAGACAGACAGAAAGGTGACATGCTCATTAGCTGTGTCTTTTAATGAGGCACCACTTCCTGAATTTCCATCACTTCCTAGTAATGACATCCAGTTACTAATTTGTCATAGGATTAATCACACCAGTGAAGTTAGAACCCAAATGATCCATTCACCTTCCAAAAACTCATTGGCTGGCAATGAAGCTGTTAGCACATGGTCTTTGGGGAACATTTGCAAATCCAAACTGTAGCATGCATGTTTTGAGTGTATCATTTAAGAATCTTATAGTAATCGTGAAGGTAACATTTTAAAGCAGTGGTGCTTTGAAAACTGTACTCTTAACTATCTTTCCTCACTGTTGCTAGAATCAGAGTTGGGGTAGGTCTTGAGGAATCCACTTTGTTGGTTACTGAGGCTTCAGATCTTCGAATCATCCTGATGCTTCTGTTGGGCTCCACAGTTAACGTTGTGCCGTGATTCACTCTCCGATTGTGCCCTTTTGCTCTAGTTGTCCGTTTCTGACGTACAACCAAAATAAATCTTTTAAAATGTTTTATATATTTTTTTATTTTAAAAATGAAAACATATTAACACACATACATTTACAAAATATCACAAGAACAATACAAGCAATACTGAATTTCAGACGAGGTGATAGGAAATTAATAGTGGTTATTATATTACATATTGATATTTTCACAGTGATTTCTCAGGAAAATAAATGAGACATGCAAGATTGATCAAATAATTAATCATTAACTGTTCCTTTCAATAAAGCGATAGAAGTCAGTAGTACAACTATGTTAGCTATCCTCTATATACATACAAACATAATTTCCCCTTCTTTCTTTTCTCTTTTCCCTCATCCCAGTTGCTCTTTACTTTTGGGCAGTTTCCTTTCGTTTCACAGTGTCTGTCATACCTCCTAGTTTTATTCACACTTTCAGGTGAACCTTCTAAAATGTAAGCCATCTGCTGCACTCCTTTCCAAACCCTTCGTTGCCCTCCCTTCACACTCACATGTGTGCTGAAATTTTAGGGCCTTTCGTGTCCTGGCCTTTCATTACAGAAGAAATTATTATTATTAATATCAAGATTGCTTGTGGTATTTCAGTTAGTTGTCTTAGCGCTAATGTTATATTTTATTTGTCATTAACCGTATAGACAGTGGGGCTGGGGATTTAGCTCAGCGGCAAAAAGCGCCTGCCTGGCAAGTGCAAGGTCGTGAGTTCGGTTCCCGGTACCGGAGAAAAACCAACCGTATAGACAGTATAAATTTACAACTGGACAAGTCTCATTATTTTCCTGCTTTAACAATCCCTACTTACTCTAGTATTAGTCCTTCTTAAGGAATGTCAGAATACTTTGTCCAGCTCTGCTTTTATTTTTTTTATTTTTTAAATTTTTTTGGTTTTTCTCCGGTACTGGGAACCGAACTCACGACCTTGCGCATGCCAGGCAGGCACTTTTGCCGCTGAGCTAAATCCCCAGCCCCTCAGCTCTGCTTTTAATGAGAACTAAATAATAGTGTTTTTTATAAATTGTAGAAGGATTGTCTTTTTGATAGTATTCAGTGCAGTATTTCTGTCAAGGTGCTTTCTGTGTCTCTGTCCTATCAACAAGCTTCATTATCTTTTGCTGTTTTCTTCCTATTAGTCCTTCACATTTTGCTTAACTTTCCCTGTGATATGAATCCAATACCCAGGCTATAGATACTATCTTTTATTGTCCTTGATTGAAGAAGTACTATATTAAATACTTTTTTACTCTTACCATGCCGAGTTACGGAAAAAATTTTATTTTATTCATTTTTTCAAAAGTATGTTTGTGGTTGCTGAGTGGATGGAAAACTAAGAAATTGGGAGAATTGAATTTTACATTAATTAGCAGTTTCTATTCATAAAGGAATTACTATTAGCATCAATAGTTTGTATGTGATGAATTTATGTACTCAAATTAGTCACATATAGAATAACTTCAAATCTAAGTGGTTTTTGTTGCAAAGTATTGGTTGTTATGAAGAAAGTTGCATAAGTTTTGTGAAAATGTGTAAATTATTCCAAAATTATTGACTGTTCCTGTCTTGCTATTTGAAGGATAGTAATGGCAACTTGGAATTAGCGGTGGCTTTCCTTACTGCGAAGAATGCCAAGAGCCCTCAGCAGGAGGAGACAACTTACTACCAAACAGCGCTTCCTGGCAACGATAGATATATCAGTGTGGGGAGCCAAGCAGATACAAGTAAGTTTTTTTTTTCCTAAATAGTTTAATAGAAATGTACTGAAAATTTTTATTGATAATGTATTAGTTTTGCTGAAGCAGAGATGGAAAACAACAAAATTAAATTTAGCTTTCTTTTTAATGTGGTTGAAATAGCATAATAGTTTCACTGACCACATTTTTGCCCTAATTCCAAACTCATGGCAAAAGATTTTTCTTGTTACAGATCCTTTAATGAGTATTTCATATAGTATTTATTGCTTTGAAATATAGAGTAACAGGTATCATATTTATAAAAAGTGTCTGGAATTCTAAGTGGGCACAGTCGTTTGTTTTATGGCTTTTAAGGGTTGCTAGAGGCCTCAGTATTTTTTATGGTAAAATACTGTTTCAGTTACTGACAGGTTTACCTTTCAGTGAAATGTCCCTTTCCTTTCCCTTTATTGTAAATAAAGTTTTGGGTAAAAGGATTATTTCCATGTAACAAAAATCCTTGTTTCTCCAAAAACAAACAAACAAAAAGTACAAAATAAAGCTTGGGAAAGATACTTTGGAGACATATACAGACATGCACATATATGTGGAAGATTTTATATGGGACTATAGGTTTTCTTCATAATGTGTATACTCTGTACTTATATAGCACTCAGCATTTTTAATAATTACTCAGTTAACTTCTATATTGCATCATGGTTTTTAATAACTATACTATTGGGCTAAGGGTGTAGCTGAGAGGTAAAGAACATATTTTGCCAGTGCAAGGCCCTGGGTTCATGCTCCCCTTCTCAAGAAGAGATACATGTAAGCATTATGGATTTGAGCAGTTGGATTATTAACATGTATTCAAAAAGAATTTCTGATATTGCTCATAGACCTTGTTATAATTGAAGACCCAGAAAAGCCCATTCATTCCTATCTCACAGAATTGAGAACATATCTTACAGGTACTAGGTGACAGAAATTTTGCATATATGAGACAGCCTTCATTGCTTATGTCTACCTTTAAGACAAGCTGTGACTTGGTCCTATCTATGCTCCAGCCTCATTTTCTGTTGCTTTCTCTTTCCATTCTGCACTGTAATAATAATACAACTGATTTATATCTCATACACGTGCTGGTCTGCCAGGAATCCCTTCTAACCTTTCTCTTCTTAGTATAATTTATTCTGGTCTTAGCAGAGTTAGTTCTGGATCTACCTCCTTGTTTTCTCTGGTCTCTTGGTTGTATTAAGTGTTTTTTTAGGGGTGTACATCTAAGAAGTACTGCTATTTTGAAGTTATTTGCTTGAACATTGTTGTTGCTGAGAAAATACTTGTTGAATTATTTTTGATAATATGTGTAGAAAATCTTTGAAGACAAATGGAAGGAATGAAGTTAAAAGTGTGTTAGAAGAAGTTAGTAAAACAGAGTGTGCAGGATTTAGTATTTAAAAATAATACCTCATTTCTTTCAAGGCTCTAAGACTTGGAGATGGAAGAAGAAACAGGTGGTAAAATAAGAAAAGGGCACTGATTGCAAACAACTGGTCAAAGTGGACAAACTCACAGTTTAACAGTTTTGTGTTCTAGTTGAGATAAAAAGATTTTACAAGTGTAGTTCTCCATTCAGTATCCTTTGTGATATGAAAGTGGTGTAGTCTGTAACAAAGGGGAAACTTAGAGTTATAAGACTGTCAAAAGTGAAAAGAGGGTGTCTTATTTGCTGTGCAAAAGGGAAAATACTGCTTAAGTCAAGTGTTAACACCTTTCAGACTTCTGTTGCGGAATAATGAAAACATTATGGAAGGAAAAATAAATTTGGATAGATACCCTGAGGGAAAGGCAACTGGGTTTCAGGAGGCATGTGTCTCATTTTCTCATAAGTAAAATTTTTTTCTTTGTGTATTTTTTGAAAAATAGTTACTGGTTTTATTTTCCGCTTGAAATAAAAGGTAGAGAATCAGAATTTCTGATTCCGTCTTGGCAGCCATATTGAGTACATTGCTTGCTGTTGCGGTTTCTTTAGTTATAAAGTGTTACTTTTCTTACTGGGATGCTGACTAGCACAGTGTGCATAAATTGGACTGAGAAGCAAGCTGGTAGGCATTTAATATGATTGTAGTATTTTTATAGTATCAAACCAGAAGAAAAATAGCTGATGGAGTCACAGTATTTTTCCTTTTGTACATTTGTACCATGTTTTACAAAGTTCTAAGAAGTATGGGTCTTCGTGAAATAGTCTTAACTGATTAAATTTAGTAGTGTTATGTATTGTGTTGAATGGTTTAAAATTTATGGTATAAAGAGATACCATGGGTTCAGCAGATATTTTTCAAATTTTTTTGTTAAATTACTGTGTATTTGTTTTAGAGAAGTGAATTTTTGTGATTTATTTTTAACTCTTGGAAGAACTGATTAAGACTTACATGTGGATTGGAAAGACAGAAAATGAATGAATGTGTATTTAAGTGCAGGCATCTACTGAAAACCTGCATTAAGTAGGTGCTGTGTGAATCTGTGGAAAAGGAATGGTCAGACTGAGGAAGTTTTCAAGGGGTTGTTGCAGATTTAAAAAAAAAAAGCTTCCTGAGCATCTTTTCAGTTTTACGTGAAATACATTGTCATTTGAAAATTGTGATAGTTTAACCTAATTCTTTCAAACATGACATACTTTTATATTTTCCAGTTTTGTTTTCTTTTTTTCTAAGTATAAAATCTCTTACAACTAAAGCTTAAAAATGAACAAGGTAATGGTAACTTTAAACATGTCATGTGTATAGTCCTGATAAAACATCTATGTTTTTAAATAAAAGTTTTTAACACTAAATACATATACATTTTTGTATTTTTTTGTTTTTTTCTTGCATTTCTAGGGATTAAACCTAGGCCCTTACACTGAGTTGCACCTGCAGCCCTTTAAACTTTTAAAATTTTGAGATAGGTTGTTACCAAGTTGTTAGAGCTGGCTTTGGGCTTGAGATCCTCCTGCTGCAGCCTTCCAAAAGCTTGGTCTTTGTTGATATAATCTGGAAAATAACTACTAACAATTGTCTGTCTTTTAGAAGGAATATAAATTTTTTTTAATGACTAGAAATAGTTTTTAAATTAGTATTTTCTGTAAGTCATTATTTGGTACTTCTGGGAAAATTTTTGCGTGTGCATGTCCTGATAATAGCAAAGGCAGTTGTAAATTATGTCAGTTGACTTGAAGAGTACATTTTTAATACTGGAAACGTAATTACATTCAGTAGTAACTAGAATAATCACATGCTTGTTTAGTCACCTTTCATTTTTGAAAGAAAAAAATTTCCATGAAAGATTATACTTTACATAATAGGGAATTTAGAAGTAATGTATCTAGTGTCTTTACATTATTTTGGTGACATCCTATATTACAGTACTGTGTTGAATTTTGGGGAAAGTCCCAAATCGGGGCTGGGGATTTAGCTCAGTGGCAAAGTGCCTGCCTGGCAAGCGCAAGGTCGTGAGTTCGGTTCCCGGTACCGGAGAAAAACCAAAAAAAAAAAAAAAAGAAAGTCCCAAATCATTTGTGATAAAGTTAGCAAAAATATAGGCAACTGTTTTTATTGCTTGAATCTTCAGAGTAGATAATGCTGATTGTCAAATGAATGCCTTCTCATCCCAGCTTACATTGGGAAAAAAAGTAGTGCTTGGAGTTAAAAACAGTAATGAAAGTGGGGCTAGGACGCAAGGTACTAGGTCATAGATGGTACTTACGATCATAGATGTACGTTAATAGTGGAAAAATTGTGACATTTTTGTACATTGACACTGCCATAGACATGACAATACAAAACTTATGCCCAGTATGAAATCTAATAGTAGTACCTTTTATTTCATGATCATTAAATTGTTTTGAACTTTTTTAAAACAGGAAAAAAAAAGTATATATCCACCAGAACAAGATGTGCTACAATTGAGCAATCAAAATATGGATCAAAAGATAAGAGGGATTTGGGTAGGTAATTTTGAAACAGAAATGAATGACACATTTTTACTTAAATTTTAGAGGAGTTGTTATAGTTGAGTGTTAAGCGATAGTCTCTTCAAAAATTTAAAGTTGTACAGTATTTTCCCTGTAATAGTTTGAATTACTGAGGAAGATTGTATTCAAAGTAAGAAAACCTTAGAACTCTGGTTAAATTATATTGCTTGACCAGACAAATACTGACTTAATACAGTAAGTAATAAACTCAATTCATTCTAGTATTTATATCTTTACTGAGGATAAGTTAGTTACATTAAACAGTTAAGGATTTTATTAATTGAACATTGGTATTTTTTCCATTCACAAACCTTGTTAAATAAGTCAATTCAGCTGAAAAAAAATAATAACATGGAAGTTAAATTTCTTTCTTTAGAAATTTCTCGTACCTAAAGCTGTTTTGATGATCCAGTAGCAGTCAAGGCTAAGCTTAAAAATAAAATGCTACATGATCTTAAAGTTACTTATAATAGATTAGATGTAATTAGGCGGTTCAGACTGAGTAAGTGCATTCTGTTAGCTGTGAACTATAGAGAATAACATACAATTTTCTGAATTGTTTCTTCCTTTTGCTTTGAAACAGGGTCTCATAAGATGAATAGTGAGGGCATAATTTGGTTGAAGGTGAGAGAGTGAGGTTAAGAATGGCAGTGTTCTTATTCCCAATCTTTGGAGACCCCTTTATTCATATGTACCTTCTTAAGGATATCCTCATCCTCTGGTGGCTCAGGTTTGTTTGCTTACTCATTTTTAATCTTCCAAAACAGCCATTCTGTTTGCATTCTGTTAATTTTTGTGTATGTACTTTTTCTTACAATTGTTTCTAGCCATGATACATATTCTTACAACTCTTCTCAAACCCTTCAGCTCTCTTTAACTTTCCAAAGTGCTTTCTGCTTATGTCACTTTACTGCCTAGAAATCTTTGCTTGTGGTAATTATAAACTTGGTCTGTTAAACTTCCCCTTGGCTTACTTTCATGTATATAGGAGAACTGTGGAAGACTTTTTAAAAAAATCAAATCATTGTATCATTATAGTGTAATGACATTATGGGCTGAACAGGCATTTGAACTAACTTGGAAATCGTATGTCATTTATATAGTATTTTCAAGGGAAAGTGAATTGATTTAAGAGTTAACAGTGTTAACAATTCATTGACAGACTGATGACAACATTTATTTCACAGTTAAGAGAAACGAGTGTGGTGGGTGGGATATGTGTTCCTACTGAAGTGGTAGTTCTCAGAAGGTGAAGATTTTACTTAATGTCTGGTCTTAAAATTGGTTACTTGGTGCATCCTGTTTTGGTACTGGTATCCTGACTGTAGTAAAGAAACCTTTTTTAAAACGTTAATTTGGATGCTTTTAAAAATGTACATTAGTACTTACACACTTTTGTAATACTTTTGTTTACAGTCTTGTCCAATTAATAGTTTCATATATGTACCATTGAATTACCCTCCCTGTAATCCTAGAGGAAGGGATTATAAAAACAGTAAGTGTTTTACTAAGTGTCACCTTGGATGGATATAAAAATATTCATAATGCATAGACATTTTTTACAAAGGCTTAATTTTTATAATTGACCTTTACCAATTAAAAATTGTTTAAAGCCAAGTAACTCTTTATTCCTTTTATATGAATAGCAGAAAATTGAAGGTTGAGGATGTAGATTGCTTAGCATGTACAAAGTGGTAGATTGCTTAGCATGTGGTAGATTGCTTAGCATGTACAAAGCCTTGGGTTTTATTTCCCAATCCCCCTTACCCCAAGAAATTGAAATGTTAATTTTCATTGCAAAATTGATAATTCACTACATGTTTTATGGAATCATTTTCCCATTAATTCTAGAAAAAAAAGAAACCACTCTATTGAAATAAGATTTTACTTAATGTCTGGTCTTAAAATTGCGTGAATTTGATATGTCAGTAGGTTATAATCTTTCAAGATTGATGTATTTTTCTAAAATACTGTGGAAACTAGCTGCCTTATGGAGTAAGGAGAACGTCATGGAGAAACTTAGGAAAGATTACAGGGAAATTACAAATAATGAACAAACTTCCCCTGTTGTTTACAGGAAAAAAATCCTAGCTTTTCAGTTAAGGACTAATAATCCAAGGTTCTAACCAACCTTTTAGCATTTAATACTATTACTTCTCTATGCGAGGGGTTGTAGACTCTAATTTCCAACTGGATTACAGGTGTGCCTGTATGTTTCACACTTGGAGTACTGCAAACGCAGGATAGGTTGGAGTACCTAGAGCTGCTGAGTGGGGTCATTCTAGCCACAAGCAGTTTTATACCTTAATACCAATATAGGGTATAATTATTTTCTGTATTTGCTGTGATGAAAGAGCAAGGTGGTAATATGAATTTGTTTGGCTGGCAAAGCGAGGTAATAGAAAATGTTGGAGGTGGATCAAAAGGGAGAGTGAATGTTTTATCTAATGAGCTACTATTACCATTGCCACATTTTGACTTTTGTCACAGTGATTATGACTATGCAGGCATCCTGTGGCTGGATCTGATTTTTTTTTTAAACTAGAAAAAGAAGGAAGAGATATCTGTTATGTTTATATACAGTCTTTATGCCACTTCAAATTTTGCTACATTGTAAAAGCCAAAGAATAAAATCTCCAGTTGTGGTTTGTTTTATTAAAAACAATGGTGTTTAGGAATATGGCAAGGTGATTCTCTTACTTTCCTTTTCAGGACCCTTTACAGTCATAAAAATTATTGGGGATATTTTAGAGAGCTTTTTTTATATAAAATGTTTACTGTATTAGAAATTAAAACTGAAAAAACCTTAGAATATTTGTGTAAATATCAATGTTAAATGTTGGCTTAAGTAGTATTTTTATGAAAAGTATACTTTCTGAAACAAGTTAGCAAGAAGAATACATGTTTCACATTTTCACGAATCTTTGATGGCTGCCGTATTGCAGAAGAGCGGGAGTCTCAAATCTGTTTGTGAAGGTTTGCATTGTGTTGCAATGAGTTTTATGGTTAATGAATGTGAAGAAAATCTGGCTTAATACAGATATAAAGTTAGAAAATGGAAGAATGTTTTAACTAACCATGCAGATAGTAAGGGATATTCTTACTAATACCAAAACTAAACTTGATGACTCATAATTTCTTTACGAATACTTGTAATGGTGAATCCAAAGTCACATCAGTGATTCTAAAGTGATACCAGTGACCTTTTCATACTGTTCTGCATTCAAATACACTACTTGTCTTGCTTTTTGAGTGAATCTTCTACTCCTGTGACATTGGTAAGTTGGAAAAGATTTCTTTCAAATAATATTTACTATGTAAAACTAAAACAATCAAATATGTCAGTATAGTCATTGATGTCATCAGAAAAATCTTAGGTATTAGGAAGGTATCAAGTTCATAGTGGTTGAAACAAGTTTTTTAAAGTTCTGAGTTAGCTTGAAAATTCTTTGTTCGTCATTGTCAACAAATACTCTCGTTTGTTTTCCTTAAGCTAACAAGCTTGCTGAAATCTGAATAGTCATAGTTTGTAATTTGTTATTCTTTCAATTAAAAATATTCCATAAAAATAGTTTGGCTTTGCAACTCAAACATTGCACTAGCAGTTTTTTCTATAGTAACAGCCACATACTTTACATATAAAGCCAGAAATACATTATGCCGTTTTCGTCACAAAGAATTTAAAAGGGGTGTTGTATGTGTACACATGTGTGTGTGTGTCAAGATCTGAGGTTTAGTAAAATACTTTTTATTTTTATCAAGTTTAAAATTTTTAAGAGAAACAGGTTTTTAAAACGAAGGGGACGTATTTCAGAGTAGTAATATGGCGAATTATTCCCACAGCCCGATGCTGCTCCCTTGAATGTGCTAAGATCTAGTAGTTTTACCCACTGTTGTTTTTCATCATCAGGGCAGATTCATCCACAAACAGATGAATAACATTTTAGTATAATCAGTTTCTTACCTAAGGAACTCCCCATCCCTTCCCAAACGTTTCATGAGGCACCCCCACCCCATCTGTAAGGTTACACTTGGAGAACTGTAGTAAGGCAGAAGGACCACGGGCTTTAAGAGTTAAAAGATTTAACTTTGAGGTCTGTGTGCCATTCTCTATTCTTAGGGTATTGTACTTCATTTCTCAGAACTTCAGCTGTATTATTTTTTGAAACAGGTTAGAAAAATTGCTTGTTCTTTGCTTTTGTGCTGCTTGAATTACAGTGGTACATCAGCGAAAGCTATTAATATAGGTTGTTGTTATTTCTAAATGTTTCTGCTGTAACCTACTCAGTTTGTCATACGTGAAATGCTAAACATTCTATATATTTTCTAGAAAGGAATTTAATACAAATGATCAGGTTCGTTTAAAAATCACTGGAAGGGCTGCATGTTGGGTTGCCTCCCAGATCGTTGAGCAGTGGTGAAAGGCATCTTCTAGGACTGCTGTGCTACATCTGTAACTGTAGCCTGGGGAACCACAAGCGAGGATTAGGAACTGCTATGGAGCCTGCCTGGACATAGGAATGCTGAGTCTGGTTGCCACTCTGTCATTTGACATACTCAAAGCTGGAAACTGGATCCAGGAGTGCTCCTGTGCGACACCCTCCATCTGTTCAGTCGTGCTGGAGGGAACAGTCAGAAGCAGAAGGGTAATGGCTGGCCCTTTGCTTCTGCCTTCCAAATCTCATGTCAGTGTGTCCTATTGTTGCAACTTAAATTTTAGCTGGGATCTTACCTGCCAATGTTTTTTTTAAAATCTTTCCAGTTTGTACAGTTGAAAACACACTATAGTGGTGAGAGAGTGAAGTGTAAGGGCTGATTGATCGTATGGCTAAAACGTCTTTTTCTACTTCTGTGATTTTCAGATTTATTTTCTCTGCCTTTATTATTCTCTGTCCAAGTTCTAGCCACTTTAATAACCAGGATGTGTCGTTTTCGTGATATATTTCATACCTGTCCAGTCTTTTCTTCATCAGTATTTAACTGAAATACCCATTTTTGCTCATGTCTGGGTGGATGTGGGTCTTCTGGCCTGACTTATGAAATGTTGGCCTACTAACATATCTAAGGTGTTCCATTATTTCAGTTGCTTTGTTATGTACCTGGCCTGCATTTTACTGGACCTAATTTAGGAGCCCTGCTTACTAGTTTTTCATGAAGTTTGCTAAATTTCTTTAAGGATATTAAAAACACCTCCCATGGCCAGTTATTTTTAATATCTTAAATATGCTTCTAAGGTACTGGTCTGAGGAAGAAAAAGTATGGTTAGCAACAGAAGTGGACTTTTGAAACCATCATACATTGTCTTTTCTCATGGTTTATTTTTTTCTAGTGTTTCTGAGCTGTGATTGGAATCTGATAGTTGTTTTAAATTAAAACAAAAATTACAGTAAAAGATTACATTGCCGTTAATTCCCTTCAGAATCTTCACCTCACTTCAAATACATTTATTTTTTTGTTCTTGCCATGTTCTGAGGCAGTTCTGGAAGTTCCCTTTGATGTCTTTAGTTGTGCTGTTTCGCTGCCTAAATGTCCTTACTTTATTCACAACATTTGCCTTTCGTGGTCATTTTGACTTTGGGGAAGAGCCAGAAGTTGCAGTGTGCCAGATCCAGTTAATAAGGTGAATGAGGACGCACCGTAATGCTTGCCTTTCCCTTGGATGTGGCTCATCGTCAGCATTCACTGTGTGTGTGTGTTCGCTTGTACATGAATATATGTGTACATACATATATGTGTATGCATTTTGGAAAGAAGGCATCCTCTCCAGTATGCTTGCTTTTATTTCTCTTAAAATTCTGTGATTACCAAGACAGATAAATTGTAATCACATTTGAAATGTACATAAACAGTTTGAATACAAAACATGTCCGTAACATAAACATAATACCAACCAAACAAAACCACACAATAGCAGATAGACCTTATTTTCTTTCTTACCCTATTGATTTCTATTAATTTTAAATGATAGAGTGTTTTTTTGGGTATATTCTCTGTTAAGTAGGTTGATCAAACATATTGGGAAATTGGATTTAAGAGTGGATTTACTAAAAGTGGTAATAGTTGTACTTTATATTTTATAGAAAAAGAATATTGTAGCATCAGAGCTGTCTTTTTGTTAGCAGAGAAGTGATTAGCGTAATTCATGTACATATTTCTTTGTTTTAGTGAAATGAGAATCTTATTTTATATTAAATGAATTTCCTATTTAATAAATAAATCGGATGTTACAGAATTGTTTTAAATAGAAAGTAAAAGCCCCTACACCTTTTTTCCTATAATTTCTGCCATCAGAATTAACCACTGTTGACACTTCGACACATTTTTCCAGACTTTAAAACTCACACGCATTCACACACATACACTCATCCAGCAGTCAGTTTTTGAAATATAAATGTTGAAGACTCAGTTGTAACTATAACTAGACAGTGTCTAATGGTAGTATGGGTAGGATGTAATGTATATGTAATTGGGTTAACTTCACAGAACATTAATGTAAATGTTTGATTTTAGTTTGATGTTTGATTTCAGTTTTTCTTAATAAATTATTCTCAGCAGTGTTTCTGCTTGTTAGTTTTTAATAAGAGAAAAATACTGGTAATCTTTTACAATTAAAAGTATTTCTGCTCTTATTGCTTTAGGTTTATGGATGAAAACTAAGCAAGTATAATCGATTAAAAGTGTATTTGCATTCTTGTTAGATGGGTTCTTTCTGTAAGAAAAAGATTTAAATTGGTGCTGACCTGCCTTCAGAGGGTATACTGGGTATAATATTTTCATGATAAAATTACGCTTTATTTTGTTTAACTTGTAATTTTGAGAGAGATAGTTTTGCTTTTCAGATGTGATTGATCTCACTGGAGATGATAAAGATGATCTTCAGAGAGCAATTGCCTTGAGTTTGGCGGAATCAAACAGGGCATTCAGGGAGACTGGAATAACTGATGAGGAACAAGCCATTAGCAGGTAAAAACGTAATTTGAATAAAGCAGATATACATACTATTTATAACAGAAATAACTGGCTTTAATTTTAGAGGCAATAGATATACTTTGTTCTAAATAAGCCATTGATATGCTCTGCATTGTTTTTATGTGTTATGTAACCAAACTTTTCATATTTTACTTCTGTTTGCTATTGAGACTTAGATTTCTATGACTCAGAAGTGGCATTAAAAAACATTAAATTTAGATGTGATTTTAATTTTTAATTTTTTTCTTAATTTCTTTTGTATACACTGTCCAATTCAGCTTTAATAATTTATAGCAGAATCAGCAGATGTTTTCTGTAAAGATTCAGTAGTAAATATTTTTGTTTCTATGTTTTGGTTGTATCATTTCTGTCATATTTTCCAACTACTTGGGTTTTATACCGCAAAAGCAGCCATAGCTAATATATAATATAATGATCTTGGCTGTGTTCCAATAAATCTTGATTTACAAAAACAACCAGCTGGATATATCCCATGAGCTGTAGACTGCTAACCTCTAATATACAGTATGATAGTATATTTACATACACTTGCATATAAACATACACACATACATACACACATACACAAATACATAAATAAAAGAAATAGGGTTCCAAGATCTGTGAGATTGTCTTTTTCAATTTAATAACCCAAACTTTTAGGTTGAGATGATTTGATTTTCCTAAGGAATAAATAATTAAATTTGTTTTTACCCCTAAGCAGTAGTGGTTTTAAAATACTTTTAAATTATAACTAACTATAATTGAACAGTTATTTAGAGGCAGTGGTAGCTCCTTTTTACTGACGAAGAAATTTCAGCTTTGAGAAGGTGAAATAATATTCCAAAAGCACATAGCTTGTATGGGTCTTAGGAAGTCTATTGTTCTTTTTACTGTAACACATATTTTAGAACCAGAATGTACCAGTTTTCTTAGATAATTTCACTTGATATAATATCAATAATATATTTCTTTGGAAATAGCACCCAAGGTTTTTATATGGTACAGGATGTCTGAAAATGCTATGTTTATCACAGGCGCATAATGTGTTTTTCTCAGTAATACTTGTTTAATATCTTTAAGTGATACTTTTCAACTTAGTTTGTATAACATTAAATTTATAGTAAGGTATACAGACAATAAAATGTATAGTCTTCTGTTTTAATTGAAATTGATATTAACTGCTAGTAATTTTAAATGAAAACCAAAAGTCCATGAACTATCTTTGGACATTTTAATTTGGCTTATTTCCTAAAGGGTTTGAGAAATTACACAAATTAGTTAATATATTTAAAAATGAAGAACATGGTGCTGGGGATCTACTTCAGTGATAGAGCATTTGCCTAGCATGCATAAAACTCTGGTTTCTATTCCCAGTACTACCAAGAGTAATCGATTGGAACAAATATTTTGAGTAAAACTTGGTAGAAGTTAACTTTTGATAAAAAATACAGTAGTTTTCCCCAAACTGTGGAGGACATGTTTTAAGATGATCTGTTATGTAATAAAGAGATTATAAAATTCATTAATATATTACTTTTGAAAGTGTGTATTTTTATTTATATGTATTTTGATTTTATATGAATTTGTTTATATGAATATGGAAAAATATTAAACATATGTACCAGATTAATATCACTAATTCTATGGCATACATTTTCTCATTAAAGCAGTGTGTATATTATGGTCACATACTGGCAAATTTTTTTTAAGAATCTTTGTTTTGTGATCATCATAGAATATAGTTACACAAATCTGTATGGTATAGGTCAACCAGTTGACATGGCTTCTTGATGCTTCATAAACACAAAGTATGTCTCTTACTAATACAACATTTCATATTCTATAGTAAACATTTTTTAAGTAGACATATACTGTAATGATAAAAATATAATGTAATAAATATATATATTCCAGTATCATTGTCATTTGTTACTAAATATGATATACTATACATAGTTGTAGAAAATTTTATGGACTATAGTTTAAGAAGACTGTCAGGACAATAGGTGTGTTTACACCAGCAACATTACGTTGCAGTTGCTATGAGAGGTCACTAGGTAATAGGAATTTTTCGTCTCCATTATAATCTCATGGAACCACTGTTGTATTGGTAGTCTTGTCTTGACAAAAGCTTTACTCTGTGGCTTACATATGACTCTGTGTAATTAAAGAAATTAGGGTTTAAGACTCTTTCTTACTTGTTATTAAGTCATATCAGTGTATATGATGCATATTATTTTAAATACAAAATTTTGACAAATCAGCAAAAGTAGTTAAAAAATACTCTTCATTCTTGGCCTTTTAAAAATTTAATACTATACAATAGTAAACATCTTCATTATAGGGATTTAGAACAGTATAATATGCCATTAAATTATATTTCCTGGAAATAAGAGTTGTGTTAAATTGTTACAAAGCATAATTATTTTTCTTGGTAGATTTCATAATTTGCAGTGAATACAAAAGAATGCTAAACACAAAATGTATAGTTAATAACCATTTATATAAATCACACTGAATCCATAAAAGAGAATCTGAATTCCTGTTGAATATTTCAAAGTAGTGTATTTGTTTCTACAGGTCTTATTAAGGATTGGCACTCGAAATTTTAAAGGGAAAATTATTCATACTTAAGGAACAAGTTTATCTATTATACTGAAAAGTATTTCACTTTTTCTTCATTATCTAAGTTTATATAGCATATTGTTGCCAAATAACACTGTCAGAATGATTTGACTGTCACTGTTTCAGTAGGTATAGTTTAACATGAAGGAACACACTTAGAATACTACATTAATATGTATAGTTGGATGAGGTAAAGCCTATCTTTTTGAATTTCATTTTTTTATGTTTAGTTACATAACAAATTTCATAGTGAAAATCTTAAATAGAGCATTTTAAAAGTACATATGCATCTTAATGTATTTATTCTTTAATGTCGGAATAGGATCAGTTACTGTAATTATCTTTTGGTCATCATTTATTCGTCCATTTTTCATTACAATAATGAAATATTATGTATAGGCTAGCTTTATAAAGAGAAGAACTCCTTGTTTCAGAGGCCAGACATCTAAGATCAGGCAGCCCTGTTGATTTGGCTCCTGGTGAGGGCCAAAGATGTCATCATGGTAGGAGCATGTGCGGGAGCCCAGGGTAGGTTGTGGTGGGAGAGGAAACACACAGACACAGGCAGGCAGGCACAGGCATGGTGGTCTCACAGTCTCTTTCAAGGATATGGCCCTATGAACCTAACGAACTTTCACTGTGCCCTACCTGTTAGGTTCATACTACATTCTAGCATCATTACACTGGGGGCCAAGCTTTCAACAAATGGACCCTTGGAAAGCAAACTACATCCCAGTCATAGCACATTGCTAAGGCACAAGTGGAATATGAGTAGTTGAGATTTGGTAATGAAATATTTTGGGAAATGGTTGGTATCTGTGGTATGTTTCTTTTGAAAATAATTTAACTTGTCTTATGATTTAGAGGTGAGGCTTTTGGAAGATGATTGGATCATGGGGGTGTTTTATTCATGAATGGATTAATCCACTGAAGAATTCAGAGTTGAATGTGCTGTTAGGAGGTAGGGTCTGTTTGGTAGAGGTGGAGTCACTGAGAGTGTGACCAGGATGGGTATATCTCCCTGCATGGTTCCTTTCTCCACTCTATGCTTCCTGTATCCATGGGGTGAAAACTGTCTTTTGCCTAGACCCTTCTACTATGGCCTTTTCTGTCTTGGAGCCTAGCAGACCATGGACTGAAAAGCATGAGTAAAAGTAAGCCTTTCTTCCTTTAAATTGTGAATGTTGGGTTTTGTATGTCAGTGAAGAGAAAATGACTAAAGCTTTTGAAGAGAAATGGGATCATTGCTGTGACTGTACCTGACTATGTGGTTTAAGAGCCTTTGGAACTGGTTTGTGGGAGTACTTTGGAAAGGTTTGAAGATGCTGCCTAGAGAAGCCCTTGGATGGTGTAAGATGAGCTTGATGTGAGATTCTGGTCAGAGCTCAGGAGACCAAGGTGCTGATTAAAAAGCAGACAATAAAGTCCAAGCTCAGGAGGTATCAGGTAGGAGAGATGACTCCATTGGCAGTTGGACTAAAGGCCACGTGTATTATGCCCTGGCAGAAAATTTTGTATATGTTTTGCCCATATCCAGAGCTAAGATTAAGGCCAGTGGACTAATTAATCTGGTAGAGGAAGTTTCAAGGCAGCCCAGTGTTTGGCCTGTGACATGGGTACACTGGGGCCTATTATCCAGATTTATAGTGACTTATTAAGAACAAATAGAGCTAAATAATTTGAAAAGTTTATAATTTTTCCATAAAGTGACAACACAGTTGGGGCAAAGGAGTGCATAATTGCTGAAACGATTAGCATTATTGCATCAGGATGATAGGAAAGATGGTTTGAGGGCATCTCAGGATTCCTTTGCAGGCTCAACGGTACAACACTATAAAGCTTTAATTTGGGAAGAGAGCGTCTGGGAAATTGGTTCCGCAGTATGTTTCACTGTGCTCAGTGGTCCAGGCACTCAGAGGACTCAGCACACATAGTCCAAAGGATCCTGGTACTACTTGAATTGATGGCTGACCTTGGTTCATCCATGTGGTGCTGGTTTTGTGAGGAAGGAAAATGCAAGAGTTGTGGGTTCAGTGTGGCTCCAACCTGGATTTCAGAATGCTGGGGATGTCAGGCAGTGTACCCCAGAGACGGCTCTGTATTAAGCAGTGAGTACAGTGAAGCTGAAAGTGCAGTGCAGACCCCAGTAAGTTGTTGATGCTAGGAGTGTTGCATCTTCTATGGAAAGTGGCATGGAGTAAGTGGAGCTCTACTGAGAGACAGACCATGAGGACTGCAACTAATAATACCATATGGGCAGTACTACCCAGACTGTTTTGTGATCACAATTTGTCTTGGGTGCTGGACACAGACCTATAGCCTTTACTGTTTGCTCTGTTGGGTTTTGGTCTTGCTGTAATCCCATT